GTGTGAGTGTGAGAGTGTGAGTGTGAGTGTGAGTGTGAGTGTGAGTGTGAGTGTGAGTGTGAGTGTGAGTGTGAGTGTGAGTGTGAGTGTGAGTGTGAGTGTGAGAGTGTGTGTGTGTGTGTGAGTGTGAGAGTGAGAGTGTGAGTGTGAGTGTGTGTGTGTGTGAGTGTGAGTGTGAGTGTGAGTGTGTGTGTGTGTGTCAGTTTGCTCTACTACACACTCTGAAACACGCGTGACGCTTGTCTGCGTCTCACTACACATCAACACACCAACTTCATCTGAGTCACTTTCACCATTTTGTGAGTGTGAGTGTGAGTGTGAGTGTGTGTGTGTGTGTGTGTGTGTCAGTTTGCTCTACTACACACTCTGAAACGTCTCACTACACATCAACACACCAACTTCATCTGAGTCACTTTCACCATTTTGAAACACTTTGAGAAACACTATCAGAACACACAGAAACACAAAGAACTGCACTACAACCCGCCAAAATAAAAGTTCTGAAACTGACTGCAATATATTACTAATGTACAGTAGAATATACTTTTCAAAGTGTTAATTCTACTACTACTATTAACAATACAATTATTACAAAAGATTAAAGATACAACTATTTTCTACAGAAATAATCACAATTTTTCATCTGTTTTAATTCTGACAGTAAACCTCATCTGCGCAGCAATTTATTTGCCCCAAAAAATGAAATGGTTGGTTTAATTTTTATTTGATTAAAAGTTTAATCAAACGGTTAAAATTGAATTAAACCATTAAAATGTAAAATAAAAAAAACGTAAACAGAATTTGGTAAAAAATAAAACTGAATTTGAGAAACAATTACAATGTAATTCTTATGGCTGTAAAAAAAATGTTTTGCTAAACTTGTATGTTTAATGATTTCAATAATTAGACTTGCTTTTTGATTATTACAAATGAATGAAACCATTAAAATGGAGTCCAGAAAAATTTAAACGGGAAACAGAATTTGCTAAAAAAATAAAGTGCATTTCATAGAGCCCTAAATATTAAATTTTTCTTAAATTTTAATAAATTGTAGTTAAATTGTTTATATTTTATGATTACAATTAATTAGACTTGCATTCTGATTATTACAATTGAATTAATCCATTATAATGGAGTCCAGAAAAATTAAAACTGGAAACAATAAAAAATTAAAGTGGAATTTGAGAGAAAAAAGTATTTTTTCTATTATTTGCTAAACTAAACATTTGAATATTTATATTACTTATATTAAATATTTGGCAAAATATTTGTCTTTTAATAAATTGTTGTTAAATTCCATAAGTTTCATGATTTTAATTAATTAGACATGCTTTTAGTTTACAAAAATGTAACTTTACCATAAAAAAGTAATTAAAAAAAAAACAGAATCCAGAAAAATTTAAACCGAAAAGAGCGCATTTGGAAAAAAATACCAGAATTAACAGCCGTTCTGGAGGAGCACCTGATGAAGTTTAGCTCCTCACTACGCTCACCTTTGGCTTGCTCAGCTATATTCAGTTTTATGATGATTTGACGGCTCTGACACCATCAGGTGCCCGCGTGAACTGAACTGATCTGAATGAGCTGCTTTAAGTTTGTCACGCTGCTAAAACTATCCTCCTCCCTAGTATTTCTGTCTTGTGTTCTAGTATAAATATCGAAACATTCTCGACTCAAGATGCATTTACTGTACAAGTACAATTACTTAAGATATTATGTCTTGTTTTCTGTAAAAAATATCAAAATGTTGTTAGTTTTTCCTTAAAACAAGCAAAATGTTAATGATTCAAGAATGTTTAGGTATTTATACTAGAACACAAGACAGAAATAGTGAGTAAGAGGCGAATGTCTTGCAGTGCACAGAGGAGAAGCGTGAGAGGAGCACCTGTATGATGTCCAGGTCTTTGCTCTTGACGCGGCCGAGCGTCTGTTTGGAGCTGCTGATGAGTGGCGAGGCGCTCGGTGGTTTGGTCAGCGGGCCGCAGTCGCTGGACGAGTCCACCACCATGGGCTCGATCTCCGCCTGCATCATGGAGATCTTCAGGATGTCGGAGGTCTTCTCCGGCGCTGTGTGACTGGAGCTGGGCTCCGGCTGGAGCTTGACGGACGCCTCGCCGCTGCTGGACACCGGGGGACACTGATGAGCGCCGAACGTGATCTTCGTGACGGCTGCGCCCTGCGTGATGATCGGCTGCTGCAGCTGAGACACACACAGAACCGTCACTGATCCACACAAACATGACTATCGAGTCGGAGATCTCCGAATGCATTGCCATTCTCTCTGGAATCAGTTCTGGGCTTAGCTTTTAACAGGCTGCACTGCAAAAAATTTATTTTCTTACTTAGTATTTTTGTCTGGTTTTCTAGTATAAATTAAAGCAATAAGCCCCAAGACGCCGTGGTTTAAGCTAGTGAATTTATAACGGCTAAGGGGCGTTGTTAGGCACGATGCGAAGCGGGTTTTATTAATGTTTTAATAAACACAGTATTCTTCCACCAAACAATGTAGCGCCTCAGAAACAGTTGTGGTTGCTACAAAGTGGTTGCCGAGCGACACACAAACGTAAACAAGTCGCTGGACGAGTCCACCACCATGGGCTCGATCTCCGCCTGCATCATGGAGATCTTCAGGATGTCGGAGGTCTTCTCCGGCGCTGTGTGACTGGAGCTGGGCTCCGGCTGGAGCTTGACGGACGCCTCGCCGCTGCTGGACACCGGGGGACACTGATGAGCGCCGAACGTGATCTTCGTGACGGCTGCGCCCTGCGTGATGATCGGCTGCTGCAGCTGAGACACACACAGAACCGTCACTGATCCACACAAACATGACTATCGACTCGGAGGTC